TCATAGTCTGATAAGAGGTCATGAATATGTTGTCTGAGTTTCAGGGAGAGATAATACTGCTCCACGCAACAATTTTTAGATAGGAAGCAGACTTTAGTTTGTTTATTTTTTACATGATAAACTTGCATGCTTATAGTCAACAGCAAGCATCAGGCTTAACAGAGATTGCGTAGGAAAATCAAAGGAACAGATTCTCACCACAAGTTAAAAAAAAAAAAAAGAGGAAACACTCTGAGAGATTAGCTTCAGAAAAGAACTGTGATGATTACATGATTTCTGAATAGGAAGGACTCCGTTCTAAACTGCAGAAGCTCATTTGACTCCCCCAATTGAGGGGGTATCATCCCGTTTTACAGATGGGAAAGCACTCATTCAATGGCAGACCCACTTAGCATCCACTTAGGTCCAGGATCTGGCTCCATGCAATCCGGTTCTGAAGTCCTGGTGGTCAGGGACAAGGCACACTGCAATCCCTCACCTGGTGATGACTGAAGCTTTGCGTGGAGGCTGAGGGCACTAAACTTTCTTCCAAGTTGCTTCCTGCCTACTTCCCCTCACCACCCACCTCCTCCACTGTCTGCAGCCTCAGCCTCCCAAGTGTGACCCTCACACAGCTCCTCCCACAGCGCCTTCAGGAGTCCACTGTCCATGAGTACCGGAGAAGGACAAAAAAAAAAAAAGGCAGGAACAGACAGACATAGTTTGCCATCTCCAGACAATGGACTGGAAGCATGCTTCTCAAAAGCACTCTGAGCCAGACACAGCGGATGTTCTGCCACTGGAGACCCCCTGTCCACCATGAGGTAAATGACCCCCACTGTCCCACTGACAGCTCCCCTAAAAGGCTACACAAATCTGTCCCACAGACCTCAGCACTGACAATCAACTCATTCTTAGAGCATGCATGGCTTTGAGTGCCAGGACAAAACTTAAGGGACAGTATGTGTCAGAGCCCTGACTGGGGTGACATGGGAGCAGCCCCCCACCCCAAGAGAAGCAGAGAGAACCCACTTCACTGAGAGCAATGGCCAGTGCCAACAGCCAGAAGGGTCTTCCCCACAACTACCCACAGCTGCAGGGATGGGAGACTGACAATTGGGTGCAGAAACCTCTGTGCAGAAACTCGGAGCCCTGGCATCATCAGCAGGGCCAGCAGGTGCTAGAGGTGTTTTGCCAGAGCCCATGTGTTCCTGTACACACAAAGCTGTTCCACTATTACGATGCTGCAGCCAGTTTTCTACACTGATTTCACAATACACATCTTCTGTTAGTGCCAGAATTAGTGTGGGGTATGGCAAAAACCGTGCTTGAGGTGTCAGAAGGAAGCAGCGTGCTCAACTTGAAAGCTTCATGGCAACAACCTGCAGCACTCACTGTGTGAGATTGTCTCTGCTCAAGTTTTCGCCTTCTAAAATACTGGGACTGTGCACAGTGAATCCATTCTCTGGCCAGTGTTTAAACTGATGGTGAGGCCTTGGATCCACAGTGCCCTGTCTCTGAATGACTCTGGTGATCTGAAATGATACCTTCGGCTATGGTTAAACAGTCTCCCTTTTACCCACATGATGGCAACCACGACTGGTTAAAGCAAACTCTACAGTAAAACAGTTTGTACAAACTCTGCTCGTGTTCTTCTTTTATGACAAGAATTTTGTAGGAGATATTTTATACGAGAAAAGTTTTCAATTAATATCACCCAACCTACTAGAAATTTTCAAAATATAAATCTTTTGAGTAGACAATTATGCACTATCAATAAAAACCACACTGTAAAACACGCTACATATACAACAGCCTTTTCTTTATCTTTTCTAAAGTTAAAGATACCGAATTTAAACATCCATGATAGCCTAAAACCTAATGTTTATGTCATTAGATATTTATCTGCACATTCAGATTTCAATAAAAAGTGAGCAAACAAGATTTTAAATAAAAAATTCACACTTCTTAGAGACAAGGTGGTATTAAATTGCTCTTATATATGCTTCTAAATGCTAAAACAAAGCGAAACAGAAACATTTACATATTTTTCGAGTGGAAAAGCATAAACTGCCAAGAGAAACTCCTTGCACACGTGGCCTGAGATCAGGGACCTGCCCCCTCTCATTTCCAGCACGCCTCAGCCGCATCCTTCCCAGAATTTTCTGGAAGCTGACTGTCCTGAAGAAAACCTTAGAGACATGGGCCTGTCGTCCTGCCTGCCGCCTCCTACTGATTCCCCCACGGGAACCTGTCCCAGGGTGAAAGGGGGAGAGAGGCAGAACAGCACTGTGCTGCACACCCCACTGCTGGCTAAACAGCAGTTCCAACGAATATGAGAAAGAGGGCTGCACACACTTCAGAGAATTTCCACTTTGAGAGTTTGCACTTTAGTGTTCAGTTGAGTTGGACTTTTACACAGCAGACCATTTGGTTCAAAAAAATCTCTCTTCTGGGCATATAGTAAACGTACTCAGATTCTGTGGGATGAAAGAAGCTGGCATCGGCAGTAGTCCCACCCATTCCTGGAGTGCCACAGTGCTCACTCTGCAGCCTGAAGGGGCCACGGCTCAGCGCGGCTTCTGAGCTGATCTCAGGGGCCAGGAACGAGAAGCCATACACAGACACAAAACCAAATCCTATAGTTCTGAAACCACATTCCATGAAATTGTTCTCTCCATGCAACCTCCACTTATGATAACACATCATAAAGTCAACAGTCAACTCACAGTAATACAATCACTTAGTGCAGAAAATTCTTGGCTTGATACACATTACAGTTAGCTCTATTACACTATACCTTACTTATAATATGCTAAATTCTTGCTTCTGAATCCACCTGTACTGTATCTTCATAAGTATAAACTTACAAAAATTTTGACTACATATTTTCAAACAGTTATGATAGTATTTTGAGAAACTTCACATCATGTCTAAAACTTTTCTAACAATGCATGCTGTGGATTCATACTTATTCACAAAAAAGTAAATGACTGTATACCAATTTCCTGTTTTGTTTTAGAGCATTATTCTCTATTTAGCAAAGCATATGATAATGTGAACCTCCTATTCCAAGATTCCAAGTGCCAAATTTGAAATCCAGAGAGCTGTGCAGCAGGTGGTGTATTGGAAGGATTGGTTATATATAAAGAATCACTGTCAAAACACAGGCGAAGGTGCTTTGAATGCCACTGATACGTCTGAAATTCATTCCATTGTCTTTTGTGTATCTGATGTTTTTGAGGCAGAGAAACTTAAAGTGGAATTTCAGCTCTGAAAGTGAAAGACACCAATTTTCTGTAACTTTTACACAACTCCAATCTCTCTGAGGGAAGCCAAATTTACTATGTGCTCGGGGTTCACTTGGATAAACTCGATCAGATTTATTTGACAATAAATAAGATCTATGTAGGAGAACAAATAATATGTCTCTTGGTGAGTTTAAATATCATCAAGACAAGACAGGGAAATGGAAAAGAAGGGAAGGAGACAGGAAGGGGGGGCGAGATGAGAATTACTACTGAGTGGTACTGAAGAGCCAGAAACAAAGAAGCTAGCGCAATGAGGACACTCTGGTGGCAATCCTGGAATAAACATTCTCAGGTGCAAACACTGAGATGTTGACACAACAAAGAGAATATGCAAATAAAGCAGATACCAGATCCTTCACAACCACTGCTTCTATCTCTCTCTCTCTCTCTCTCTCTCTCTCTCACACACACACACACACACACACACACACACACACACACAATCTACTTGAATTCTTTCAGGGAACACATTTGCACTGGTCCAAAACTTGACATAAATGACAATTCAACCTTGTACCACTTCACAGACTCCTCAGCGGCAGGTTCAAAGACAATCACAGTCACTCTACTTTCTGAGTTTTTGCAAGCTGGAGGCCAGGTGTACCCAGCATGCTGGGATGAACACACCAGTCCCCTACCACCCTCTTCCCCAGTGTAATGGAGGCTCAAAGCAATAGGCAGGTGAACAGCTTGAGGCTCTGTCCAGCTGCAGGGGCTGCAGTGGAGTCAACCCCTGGCAGACCATGCAGGGCTCACAGCACAGGCTGCTCATGTCCCCGCAACTCCCATATAGGGCTCGCAACAAGTGCTTTTCCCTTCTGCCCAGACGGGACACCAGAGGACCAGCAGGCTTTTGCATCAGTGTTAATGTCATAAGTGCCTGCTTGCTGTGAGATTTATTCTCGGCTGCAGTTTGGCTCTCTTCAGATGCGATTCCTGGGCTATAAGTGCCTACCGACTGACAGGAATATAACAGGAGATGTGAAAAATGCAGTGATACCAAAAACAGACGTGGGTGTAAAATTCCAGGACCGTTTATTGGCTCATTTCACTTTTGCAGGTACAATTTCCATGCTGAAAACACGAGGCCTTGAACACATACACACACACACACCCCTCTTAAAATGCCTAGGACAGTGAGACATTTGGGAAAGGCTGAGGTGGGAAGTAAGAAAGGCCGAGAGGGTGTCCACAGGAAAGAAAACTCATCGCTATTCTGGCTCTGGTTTTTTGGGAGTCTCACACTACCTTTTCTCTTACTCAGTCTCTTTTAATCTAGTCTAGCAATAACTCCAAACAGATGGGCAAAAGGTCAGAGTTTTGATTTGTGGATAAGAAAGGAATATCTTGGCCAAGCCTCTTGGCTTTGGAGAAGTAAGCCTAGTCCTTAAGGTCTTGGGAGTCTTTACACAACTACCCAAGTATGGAAGTCAGAGAGAGCAGCGGTTACTTGTGACTTTCTTAGAGTGAGTTATATATAGCTCCTTACAAACGACCCTGGTCGCCTCTTGGAAGCTGCAAACCGATGTTAACGGTCCTCGTAGGACTTTCCCACTGGCTGGGCTCAGTGAAAGCTACTGCAAGGTAGCAGCAAGGTAACAGGACCCCTTAGTCTCCACCGCCTCCCTTCCTCCCTCCCCACCCTCCCGCACCTGCCTTAATAGTCAAAAAAACAATCAGCTTCCTCTGCATTCTTAGGAGCATACTTACATGATTTCCTGTTGGAGACTTTCAGGGGCTGAACTAATACCTCTGTTCGTCTCAGGGCCAATCTCCTGCAAGAAAGAAGATCATGATGCTGATCAGTTTCCAGCATGGGGCACAGGTACATATAGCACCAAAACGCTGCTGAAAATTTCAGGGGGGCAGTGAAAATGAACACAATTCAGCCCATTCAAGTTCAGAACCAAATCTTCTACTGTCAAATCAGCCTTTCTATCTGCAGCCTTCCGGCTGCAGATGGTGATGTACTGTTCTTTACTCACTGCAGCAGCAGAAAACGTGGGGTGACCGGGGGCTGCCCTATTATATTTGGACATCATTCATGCTAACTTGGATGAAGCAGATCCAAACCTGAGGGATGAAGCCTTCTCAGGCAAGGATTGAGACACATCATATTCTCTCTTGCGAGCAATGGAAAACAGAAGGTCGGCTGAAGAAAGGCCACTGTTATGCACCTGTGGCTCACCTCTCCTGGAAATGCTTGGAGGGAATCAGGCCTGCCCGGGGGTTGGCGTCGCCCTCGTGCCTCGCCTGCCACCATGTGGGGTCGTCCTGGCTCATGATCTGAAGGATGTCGCCCTTCCGGAATGCAAGTCCGGCCTCCTTACACGGGATCGCCTTGTCCTCACTGGGCTCATAGTCAAACAGGGCCTTGAGGAACATCTGGGAAGAAGCATTGTCGAAGGAGAAGAAACAGCACAGAAAATGGAGGTGACGCAGACTGCACACCCTCCGAGTTAGGCAATGCGTGGGTGTGAGACACACACACACACACACACACACACACGAAATGGGCAAGCACTACTCCTCCCCCGCCCCATAAGGCTTTCACGCACTGATTACCTTGCCTTCTTTGGAGGGTGTCTCCTCTTTGATGCTGGGTATAATCTTAAATGTGATGGCTCCCTGAGACTGTGCCTGAAGACAGACCAACACAGATCACTCTAAGAAAGCTAGGACTGAAGACAGCTGAGACCACACCAGGAACAGACAACCTCAGGGTTCCTAGCCTGAGTCAGACAGTCCAAACGCAGCAAGTCATAGATGGCAATTCCTGGAGCCTAAGACAGCACTAAAGCTCTTCAAGGACATTAAGAAAAAGTGACCCACTCACAGTCTACCTTTGCTTCCCGTGGACTGAATAATGTCAATGAGCACATTCTACTCTTGGCCACACTACATCAACAGAGGACCAGGAGGGAAAAACAGGGTCTCACGTAATCACAGTGTGACTTTACTGAAACAAGGCAACAAGTGAATGGCCAGAAAGAAACTCAGGATTCTATCAGTGGCAGTGCCTAGCAGAGAAAACTAGAAACGACAGCCCTATGGAGGCCAGCATCAGGGTGGAGCAGGGATGCTGACTGGGTCCCATATGCTCCACTTCTGACCTTGCTCCCTACCAATGGCCTGCGAAAAGCAGGGGAAGACAGCCCAAGTGTTTGGGTGCTTGCTATCTATTTAGGATACCTGGATGAAGCCCCTGGGTATAGATTCTCTCTCCCCCCACCAAACTTCTTTGTACCTCTAACTTCAAAAACATTTGAATAGACCTTAAGAACAAAGACAGTCCTAACTATTGGATTCTGGGTAACGTACACCGTCTATGCTGATTAAAGCAAACAACATCAGCCACAAATCTATGCTTTCTCACACAGGATGAGTGTGGCCTTAAACGTACTATTAAACAAATCTCTATGTATATTTCTTGTTTCAGCATTTGAAATGATTTCTGATTGCCTGTTACTCCCTGCTAACTTGTAATCTCCACTAAAACACTGAATACCTGGCACGTATTCAAGAGAGCTAAGGGAGTCCCTTATTGCAGTAAGGTTTACAGTCGATTTGCAGATACAAAATGAAGACTGTTCATTGTATCCTTGTAAATGAACTTAAAAATTAGTATCGTCCAGGCCTACAGTAACTCCATGCAAGTTTCAGATTTCCTAGGACACCTGAAGTAGCTTCACTGTTTCGCATGCTTAGGATTTTCAGCTTGCAACACAGCCAGGCCGATGAGAGAGGATGCTGACAGGTGTGTCACTAGCAGATGCCACTGACTGAGCACCTATTTGGAACCAGCTGTGCCCTACTGCTTGACCTTTTATATACCTCATCTCATACTATCCTCAAAATGTTACTGCAAGATAGTTGTCTCTTCTCATTTTGTCATTTAAAACATTAAGGAGGCATAAACAGATTATAGCATTTTCTTAGTATACAAGGGCTGGGATTCCAAATTCAGCTGAAAATCCAGGCTGGAAATTCCACACAATAAAAGACAAGTCCAACTGAAGTGTGAAGTGCTGCTTCCCAAAGAATCTGTTTTTGTTTTGGTTTGTTTTTTGTTTTTTTTTTTTTTAAGATTTTTTTTTTTTATTGCAAAGTCAGATATACTGAGAGGAGGAGAGACAGAGAGGAAAATCTTCCATCCACCGATTCACCCCACAAGTTGCCACAATGGTCAGAGCTTAGCCAATTCAAAGCCAGGAGCCAGGAGGCTCCTCTGGGTCTCCCCTGCAGGTGCAGGGTTCCAAGGCTTTGAGCCGTCCTCACAGCTTTCCCAGGCCACAAGCAGGGAGCTGAATAAGAAGCGGGACTTCTGGGACTTGAACTGGCGTCCGTATGGGATCCCGGTACGTGAAAGGCCAGGACTTCAGCCGCTAAGCTACAGTGCCAGGCCCAGAATCTGTTGTTTTAAAAGTGGACTTGGTAGGAACCTGGGCTGTGGTACAGTGATGCCAGCAACCCATATGGCCACCAGTTTGAGTCCCAGCTGCTCACTTCTGGTCCAGCTGCGTATTACTATTCCTGGGAAGGGAGAAAAAGGTGGTCTGCGTGTTTGGGACCCTGCCACCCAGTTGTAGTTCTCAGCTCCTGGCTTCAGCCAAGCCCAGTGCTAGCTGTTGCAGCCATCGAGGGAGTGAGCAAGCACATGGAAGAGCTCTGTGTCTTTCCCTCTGTTGCCTCTATATAACAAGCCAGTCTTCAAGCAAACAAAAAACAAATTGATGTCATAATACGAGGCATCTTCTTTGTGACTGTCTCTGACCTCCTTCTCTGAGAACAGAATTCAGGACAGCAAGTGTGGACATTTCCTTGACTCCAATCAGAAAATATGTGGCATTTACATTTAAAATCCCAGGGTCTATGGAACTGTATCATATAATGATAATAAAAAGAAGTAAAATTTAAAAATAAATAAAATACACTTGGTTATACGTAATGACTGTATTCCTGAGTTGCTTTATCACTGTAGATTTCTATTACTGCGCTAGTAATAGCATCGATAAACAGAAGTTTTAAGCCTGTACATAGTTAAATGTCACTGAATTAGTTCTTAATAGTCCCTGAGCCTGCAACATTCATTCATGTGAATTTCACTGCTGTTTGCTCTGATTTCTTGGGTCTCTGTGATTTTTTTTCTTTTTCTACTGTATTTTTCATTTTATGATGCAATTCCATAGGCTCTGGAATTTCTCTTACCCCTCGCCCCCAGATTCCCTCCCCCCAGCGGATTTTCTTGGGTCTCTTCTAAGCTGAGTGGTACAAAATCTGGCTGTGAAACAGTGCAGATGGTAATCTGTGAATCATAAAGGTATTATGTCCAACATAGGGGAATAATTTATCCACACAAGTAGTGATTACCATTTAATGCTTTTAGGGAAGACAGAGAACATGGGGCAATAGAGCAAAGCTAAAAGGAAAAGGACACACTTTGGACAAAAACATCAAATGCACATTATAAAAGTCTGACCCTTCCGGCATTCCTCCTGCTCCTACAAGCAGACTTGCAGCATCTGAACTATAGGCCTTTAATCCTTTTAACTTCAGAATAAATGTGCAGCTCACCAGGATCTGTATGATTTCCTCGGGTCTTTTGTCTTCCACTGGGATCCCGTTCACTTCTCGGAGCTCATCACCAACGTGAATCAACCCTGTGATGCAGACAATTTGGGACATGAAAAGGTGTCATCTGTACCTGAGTCCACCATGTGCGCAAGGCTGGGCTCCCATCTTCCAGGGAAGGAGCAGAAAGTAGGCCCTTATTCTTCTGAGGTTCCTGATGCCGGGCCAGTTACCAGGGGATGGATGGTGCTGGCCAAGCAAATCTAGTGCCCCAGTCTTGGCCCGGTAATGTAGGTCCCCAATGTCTTACAAAATAAGCTGCGTGTTCTAAGGAGCACAGTTCCCATCAGCAACACCAGAAGCCAGGAGTGAGAATTTCTCACCATTCTTTTAAGTTTCCAGCACTTGCGTCAATGTGCTCTCCCAGAGCACGGAGCTGCTCTGCACCCCACCGTGCAGCACCCACTCCTGAAGCACACCCACCGCTCGCCTATGGCTCTCATCACTTGGATTCCTACCACTGCGATCTGCAGCACCGCCTCTCATGATCCGAGCCACCACGATGGCGCCAGTCTGCTCATCCTTCTTGATGGTAGCCCCCTGGAAAAGAAAAAAAAAAATTAGCTTTGTGGATGAAGTTGAGTCCCGGGTAGAATGAATAGGGAGCTGGAAATAGAATATCCCTTGAGAAAAAGTGAACTCAAAGAATTTGAAGGCATGAGATAGGAGGGCTAGAAAACACGCCCTCTGCCTCACCAATCCGACCAGGGACAAAGGAATCCACTCCATGTATCATGTGAAGGCCTCAACATAACTGAAAGAGTTTGAAATCTTTAACTTTTTCAAAGGTACAGAAAATGTAAAATGTCCATATCTTTCTTTATTTTATTTATTTTTACTGGAAAGGTAGATTTACAGAGAGAAGGAGAGACAGAGAGAAACATTTTCCACCTGCTGGTTCATTGATCAAATGGCCACACAGTTGGAGCCGAGCCAATCCACAGCCAGAGCCAGGAATCTCTTCTGGGTCTCCCACATGGCTGCAGGGTCCCAAGGCTTGGGGCCATCCACCACCGATTTTCCGGGCCACAAACAGGTAGCTGATTAAGAAGTGGATCAGCCGGGAGACAACCAGTACCCATGTGGGATCCCAGCACTTACAAGGAGAAGATGAACCACTGAGTCATTGAGCTGGGCCCCATATCCTCTTTCCTTTGGACACATGCCTTATATCTGAATGTTTCTTGTTACCTTTCACCGTGACCATACCCCATGAAGAAGGTGGGAGAGTGATGGGTGTGTGAACAGAGAAAACCAAGTAAAACCCAGCCCTCAGGCAATCTTGTTAGCAAAGGCTAAGGTAAATCACCAGAAACCAGATGTGTTCCTCCAGGTTCTTAATGAACTTCCACTATCCTTGGTGCAATGCAATGCACATAGGTACTTCAAAAAGTTTGCAGCAAGTCGCATTTATAAGTTTGTTTTGATGCAACATAGTTTTAAAACCCATGCTTGGGCCTGGCATGATAGCCTAGTGGTTAAAGTCCTGGCTTTGAACGTGCCGCGATCCCATATGGTTGCCGGTTCTAATCCCAGCAGCCCCAGTTCCAATCCAGCTTCCTGCTTGTGGCCTAGAAAAGCAGTCAAGGATGGCCCAAAGCCTTGGGACCTGTGTGGGAGACCCAGCGGAAGTTCCTGGCTCCTGGCTTTGTACTGGCTCAGCTGTGGCCATTGTGGCCGCTTGGGGAGTGACCCATCAGACAGATCTTCCTCTCTGCCTCTTCTCTTCTCTGTATATGTGACTTTCCATGCCCCCCCTCCCAAAAAAAAGATCTATGCACATGAAGGAACTGCAAACATCTCATGGAAAATTTTTCCAATATAAACTATCCATGGACTTCAAAATTCATTTTTCCATGAGCTTTATGATGCGCCCTCACAACAGACAGCATGGACAGGGGTAAGGATTGGCAGGCCAGGAGGCACAAAAACGTGATGACAACATCTGAAGAAGGAAAAACTGGAAGAGGTGAAGGACAGCCAGGTTGGATAGAGAAAGCCCAATAGATGTGGAGGTCAAAGTGCAGATTATGAAGGCTGAGGAGGTCACTGTGAGTTAATTCAGTTTCCCTCTGAAGGAAATGGAAATCTTGCGGACTAAGAGCAGAAGGTGAACTCCAGAAGGATGAGTCCACCAGCTGTGTCCACACTGAAGGAGGGAAGCAGTGTAACTTGGCTTTGCAACTAACTCTACAAGGAGAAGGCTTCACTTAGAACATAGTTTGGGAGGCTCAAGTCCACCACAGCGCAGCCCCACTGCTTGGCACCCAGCAAGGGTAGCTGACAGAAGCGTGGGGGGAGTGTGTGCGGAGAACCACCCGGTGAGCCAGGATGCAGAGCGAGTAGCTGGGCTCACCTCATGCTTTTACAACTTCCTTGCGAGAACTCCTTCCTGTGGGCACGCCTCAGGGACATAAGGCTGTCCCACCAGGTCTACCTCCTAGACTGTCTCCTAGTTTCCACCCTCTTAGTTTAATGAACTTAAGACTGTGGGGCTGACACGTCTGCATGGTTTAAGGGCCAAAGCATATTCCGACTAATGCAAAAGGCAAGGATGAAAGCAATGAAACACGTCAGAGACTGTTGCGCTAATCCAAGGGAAAGATGGTGGGGTTTGGAGTTGACTTGCAGGAGTACAGGTGATGAAAAGTGGTCTGGAAATACAAGTGCTACTAGCACAGCCAAAAGGATTTCCCCATGGGGTGGCCACGGGATACAAAAGAGAAGACACAAAGATCAACTGGGTGTGTTTTGGCTGAGCAACTGCAAGGTGGAATTACCATCAACTGAAAGCCAGAAAGACACTGGATGGAACAGACTTGGGGACAAAGATCAACAGTTTATTTCTGGATATATGAAGACTGAAATATCTATTAGTCATCCAAATGTAAAAATCAAGCAGACAGATGGATACACAAATTTAAAGATCAGAAGGAAGGGCTGGAAAAGAAACAGTCCCAGAAGTTGCTGGCATACAGACTTTTTTTTTTTTTAAGCCATGAAGGATTAAAAACACTTCCAGAAGGTTTGGATGAATAGGAGCTCTCCAATATGGAAGGGCTGTCCCGTGACAGAGGGGATGCTGGTGCTTCATCTGTCGATTCTGTTGCCCCAGGGGGTAAAGGTAGACTGAGAAACAGCCCTCCTGCCTCCAAGATCCTGCCTCTTGACACACTCCTCTGTGTACCCTGCATTCAAGAAGACTCCTATTTCCATGCTGCTTTCCAAACCTCCATTATCACCACTCCCTGATGGGTGGTTAGCATAACAGAGTGTGTGATAGTAACATTCACACTCAATAACACAGGCATGTTACAGGTGACCTGTGTAAAGTGACCTGGGGTCAGCACTGTGGCAAAGCACATGAAGGTGTGCCTGGGATGCCAGCATCCCATATACGACTTCCGGTTTGAGGTTTGGCACATCTGCTACTGACTGGCTCACTGATAATGCACTGGGGAGAGCAGGGGATGGTGGCCAAGGGCTTGAGCCACTGCCACCCACATGGGAGACCCACATGGAGTTCCAGGCTTCCTAGCTGTGGCTTGGCCTAGACCTGACCTATTTCCCTCCTTTTCTCTATTGTCCTATTACTCTGCTTCCAAATAAATATATATATTTAAAAAAAAAAATACCCTGAGATCCAAGAGAGAGTATTTTGAATGAGGATTGAATCTAGCATTTTGTAATTTATGCATTGTTAACATCATCAGGAACCTGGCCTCAGCCTGTCCTGCTCTTGGCAACATCCAGAGAACGCTTTGGAATTCCTAATACCATTCAAATTTGCTGCATCACAGCTCAAGTTCAGAATGCACTTGAGGAGGTCTCTTCTGGTTTGCTGTCAGGAACCTACAGCTCAGCAGCAGCAAGCGACTTTCCACCATGGAACAGGGGGCAAACAAGTACCGAATCCTCGTCATTCCTACAGAGATCACCCAGTTCCAGCTGGGAGTTCATGTCACCACTTTATCCCTGGGTCTTATAACGAGAGCTGCAGGAACTTCTTTTAAGATCTTATTTATTTGAAGGACATAGAGGGAGACAGGAGCAGAAAGACGGACAGACAGACAGAAAGTGGATTCCCATCAGCTGGTTCATTCCCCTGAGCCAGGAACCAGTAATTCCATGTCAGTCTCCCACATGGGTGTCAAGGATGCATCTTATGCAAGAAGCTAGAGTCAGAGCAGAGCCTGGAGTGAACCCGGGTGCTACAATGTAGAAACCAGGCACCCCAATTGGCATCCTCACCACTGTACCAAACATCACGGTGTGAGCCTTGAGAGCTCCATTTGCCATCCAGCTCCCTGTCGATGCACTTGGAAAAGCAGCTGCAGACCACCCCGAGCACATGGGCCCCTGCAGCCATGTGAGACCTGAATGGAGCTTCTGGCTTCAGTCTGGCCCAGACCTGGTCACTGTGGCCATTTGGGGAGTAAATCATTCTCCCTTGCTTTCTCTGTCTCTTCCTGTTACTCTGTCTTTCAAATGAATGTGATAAATCTTTCATTAAAAAATAGAACGTATTACTAATGCATTATCTAACTCTTCAATATAGCCCAGTCTTTCAATTGCCTTCCTAACTAGGTGAACTATTTCTTAGTAAAAGATGTGCAGAATCCACCAAGCACGAGCCATTCATGATGGCTGAATCCTGGAGACAGCTTTCTCTGCAGCCCATGTGCCATGCCACCTCCACAATGAAAACACACAAATATTTAGGTTACTCTTCTGAGTGCCACAAACATGGATGGGGAGCACAAGCCTTATAATCTAAGAGGAATCCATGCTAACCTGGAATACTGAGGAGTCTTACAATGCCCACGAGTGGACATCAGGGGTTCAGCTGACCCCTTTATCTTATCCTGAGCAGAACTACAAATGCACTTATCAATGTATCACACACAAGTAAATCAAAAAAATCAAAAGGGACAAAGTACAAAGACACAGGAAGGAAGAAAGACTGGCAGTGAAAGCTCAAGAGTTTGGTGTGCTACTTTGCTCACCCATTAATGGTGATACTAGGGGCGAGCTGCCTTGCCTCTTTGAGCGTCAGCTATCCACAGTCTACAAATACAGAGAAATGAGACCCAGCAGAAGGACTAAATATCATGTGTGTAACATATGAACATGGTGCAGACAACTATTGTACTACCAATAATTGGCTCATTTTTCACCGAGTCTTGTTCACTGTCTACTGCATCAGGGGGCACAGGAGGCAGCACAGGCCGGCATTACTGGGCCTTGGTGTCTCATGCAACACACAGCTGCTGCTTCCAAGCAAAACTGCCTGGGCCATGCCCGCCCTCCAGAGACCTGTGCACTCTGGGTGTCATCACCATCTCACCCTTCACTTCCAGACTCTTTCCAGGAGCCCTGCCCCCTCTGCTTCCCTTGCACTGCCATAACAACACTGTCAACTACATCGGGTCACAGGTCGACCCACAATGGCCTTTCCCTTTGAAGACCAGGAGTATAATTCACAGACTCCTGTTGGGGGCAGAGTGGCATGGTCCAATCTACCAGAGACTCCTTTTCAATATGGGATAAATTCCGCTGCATGAGTAGCTAGTTCTGTTTACAGTCTGTAACATCAGACACCTAGTCCATCTCTCTCCAGTGCCTGAGAGTAAGTTAGCTTGCCAGGAGAGCCCAAGGTAATCTTTTTTGTTAGCCGTGCTGCTTCAGCTCAAATCAGCCACCTTTGCTGCATAGGGAGCTTTCGTTTCTGTCTGTCAGCTGGGGACATCATCAAAACGATTGCTACTTACAACCAGGAGCATGTCTGCCATTTTATGGGGCTTGGCTTTCGTTTCTCGACCTCGTATCCTGTGAGGGTGAATGATCCCCTTGTGACAGCAGAGTTTGAAGTCACCTATTTTAAAGGGAGGTTGCATGGCACACGCAGCTGTCAGATCTGGCTTGATTAGGCTGTCTTCTCAGAGCCCAGCTGGAAATGGAGACCCTTCCTCCCCCCGCCGATGCACTTACCAGTGGTTCTCGGTTTTTGACCAGGCGGATGATTTTTACGGAGTCCTCCTCCTCATCAAGGTCGTCAGGCATGGGCGGCAACACAGGGTCATAACTCTTCTGAGCCACAGTGTCGTGTACAGACAGTAAGGCCTGCGGAAGTCACAGGCTGGTCAAGAAAAGGAAATTCCAGACCCCAAACAGTGTCCCCAGTGTGACCTGACAGTGGCAGTAAGGCAGGACCTGCCAAGATGACTGATAGGAGGGAGTTTGAGGGAGGGCCGGCAGACTGCAGCCTGCAGCAGGTGGGGACAGGTTGGCGAAGAGAGAGACGGGGCTATGCGTGTACTGCCAACGAGAACTGGCAGTAGGAACATGAGAATCCTATAGATGTTTTCTTTCCTAAATTTTTCTCCACCAGAAGAAAACACAGGGAGGAGATAGCCCAAGTGCTTGGGAGATCTGGATGGAACTCTAGGCTCCTGGCTTTAGCCTGGCCCAACCCTGACCAAGGTGGCTATTTGGGGAGTGAACCAGTAGACAGAAACTTGCTCTCTGTCTCTCTAACTCTACCATTCATATAAACAAATAAATACTAATAATGATAATAATGAGAATGAAGGCCGGGATGAAATTAACAGGGACACCCCCCCCCGGAAAAAAAAAAACAACAGCAAAGAGGGACACAGGAGATAAAGGACACTGAGCTTCCAGAGAGAAGCTAAAAGATGGCAGCCCATGTTGGTCCCCACAAAGCTAAGTGCTCAGGCTGCAGAGAGGACCCAGGTGTGACTCAGCGGGCTCCCAGAGGGGAGGAACCAAGCAGGAAATCCGAGAAGTAGAGGAGCAGAGTAGAGGGAGGATGATGGGATGAGATCAAGTGAAACACCACCCTGCTGACCCTGCTGAGCTGTGGCAATCTATGCAAAGTGCTGTGAAGCCATGGCATGCAGGTGGGGATGGCCACCCAGGTCCAGAGCAGGGCTCCTCAGCCCAGGGATAAGGGGCACCCAAAAGTCATCTCATCTGGCCACATCTGCAGCCAACTTTGGCTGTCATGATTGGCAGGGTGGTGGGGGGAGATGGTGCTATTCCCACATGGTACACGGAGGCCAAGCATGTGCCTGAACACAGGATGGTCCTTGTTTCCACCCAAGGACTCAATCCCCCAATAGCATCAGTCTCCAGACTGAGGAATCCTGCAGGAGAACAACCCCTGAGGCTCACAAGGCGCAGGAATCGGCCCCATTCTCACCTGCGAGAGGGGAAAGCCTTAGCACTCCCATGGCATGGTGGAGAGTAACTGAACTGGTGCGGCCTCAATAAAGGGGAAAAAATCAGCCCAAGAGCAAATGTATTAGTCTTACCAAATAAAGTTTAATAGCAAACAATCAAGTAAAAAAATTTATCAATAAATCTATCAGGATCAGCAGTGTGGCATTTCAGATTAAGCTGCCATCTGCAATGCCAGTGTCCCGCATGGGCACTGGTTCAAGTCCCAGATGCTCCACTTTCAATCCAGCTCCCTACTAATGTGCAAGGGAAAACAGCAGAGGATGGCTCACGTCCCTGGGACTCTGCCCCCACGTGGGAGACCAGGAAGAAACTTTTGGTTTTGTATTGGCCATCACAGTCACTGGGGAGTGAACAAAGGACAGGATCATTCTCCCTGTCTCTCCCTTTTGCTCTTTAACTCTAAATTTTGAATAAATAAATAAATAAATCTTCCAAAAGCAAAGCAGGGTCAAAATGTTTTCAAGTGACTTAACTATGTAGCTGAAAAAACTTTCAAAAATATTATGGATAGAAACACAAATTCTTCCTGCCTCAAACAGGCTAAAATTCGTAACTGCAAACACAAGTCTGCAAACAAAGCAGAGAATATTACAATAAAGAAAAAAGCAATAAAAATAAAACCCTGATATTACGCAGAAGGTAGACAAAAAAATCTAAAAGTGATTTTTTATAACTATATTCAAAAGCTTGAAAGAAATGGCTAGGGGAACATGAAATAAGAAAAACAGAAAAACATTTAAATCAATATTCTAGAATGGAAAAAAAAAACACAATGTAAGAAATGAAACCATACCCTCAATGAGATTAACACAACTTAAATAAAGGAAAAGAAAATGTGAAAATACTCCATGATTGCTTTAAAAATACATCTAAATAAGTCTATATGTTCCAAAGTTTCAAAGTACAGAAGCATAAAAAACATAAATAAGAGCAAATTGCCTGAAATTAGAAACCGTTGAAATCACCTATAGGAAAATAACATGTTACTTAGAACGGCACCATTTTCATCAAAAAACAAAACAAAACAAACAAAAACACCTGAGCCACAAGACAACAGAAGAGTATTTTTAAAATACCCCAAGACGAAAATAAGTCCTGGGGCCGGTGCTGTGGGGAAGCAAGTAACGCTGCCTCCTGTGACACCAGCATCCTTCATCAGAGCACTGTTGGCGTCCAACTCCCTGCTCACGCACCGGCAAGGCAGCAGGAGACGGCCCGTCACCCTAGGGAGACTCAATGGAGCTCCAGAATGGGCTTCGGCCTGCCTAGCCCGGCTGCTGCAGCCAGCTGGGGAGTAGACCAGAGATGGAAGAGCTCTCTTTCTCCTTTCTTGTCACTGTCTTTCCAATAAAATGTCTTTAAAAAATTTTTTCAAATCATACGTAGTGTCCATCTAGAATTCTATAGCTAGCAAAGTTTCTTTTAGAAATGAAGGAACATTGAGAAATTTCTGAAGGTTTACAAAGGTGGGGGGAAATACATCACTAGCAACAAACGCACTCTAGGAAATATTGAAAAGTCTTTTGGACAACAGAAAAATGACAGCATATGGGAACACGGGTCCACATAGAGCAATGTAAAGCACAGAAACACCCACCATCTGTCACGCACACAGTAGAAACAACAGAGATAAAAGGTAAATAAATATATTTTAAATAATGCAGTTATTATGGCTGCAGGTTCACAAACTGCAGCCACATGTCTTCTTCTTAGCACTGGAGCCAGTTCCATGTCTGGATTTTCAAACAAGCTTACACCTATCAAGATGACTTTGTTATTAGCTATGCTTTATAAATATTTCTGGCTAGCAACATGTTTATATTTGGGACAGCTGCAAATATAAATTCTATCTTCCTGTTCTACATGCAACAAGCTTATTCTTCAACACAACACTTTCCTTTCAAAGCGCTGTACTGAGATAAAAAATGTGTTTCTACATGCCATAACCACCAATCATAACTGATGCATTTACCTGTTGCTTCTAAGTGAAACTAGGCCTTGAAATCGTCAGGCTCAGCCCCCTCCTTGGGACCCCCTGTTTAACTCCAGGGTCTGGGGATCTGTCGGGGCCACAGAACTCCAAGCACAAGTGACCCCGACTTATCCCTCCAGGATGCCTGATGCTGGGCCTTAGGGTTAATGCAGCCTTGTTCACTCTGAAGGATCCTGCAGTAATTGCTGGGAAAGGAAGATGAAAAAGCATAACACATCTCTTTCACTTCATTATCTTTCTGGGAATCTACAAATCCCTCCTGATGTCCTAACACATCATGTTCTGGTAGCCCGGGGATGGTGATGCAGACAGGTCAAACCTGCCTTGCTTCCTTCCCCCAGGAACAGCCTCAACTCAAGCCCACATCCCCAGTCAAGGCCTCTGGACAGCACCCAGGCTGCTGTTCATGTCCACACCAGAAGAAGCGGGCACACGCTCTTCCACCTGCCTGGGCCTTTGAATGCTCATTGTCTCTTCCCTCTGGTCACAACCTGCAGTTTCTTTTATCCTTCATTGCTTTTCTAGACTTTAAGATCATGGCATGGCAGGTAGGCTGTCACCTGTGATGCAAGCATCCAAGTAGGCGCTGCTTTGTCCCAGCTGCTCTGCTTCCCATCCTGCTCCCTGGCAATGGCCTGGGAAAGCAGTACAAGATTGTTACGGTGCTTGGTCCCCGCACCCACATGGGAGACATGGAAGAAGCTCCTGGCTTCTGGCTTTGGTCTGGCCAAGTCATGGTCACTGCAGCCCTCTGGGCAATGGATTATCGGAAGGTGCATGATCTTTCTCTGTTCCTCCCTTTCTCTGTGTAGCTCTGACCTTGAAATAAATAGATCTTTCAAAAACAGATTTAAATAGTAAGATTAGATTTCATAGACATTACTGACTTGAGTAAATTTAATTTTTTAACATGGCAACAGACAAATTCGTTCAAACTGGACAAAAATTTTTATGACTTTGATAGTTGTCAGGGGAGACTTATTCCAGATTGACAATCTATTTCCTAACTGTTAAAGACCTGAAGGCCACAAATGGCACAGGGAAAATCTCAGAACTCCTCAGCAGCAAGAGGCTCCTAGGAGTGAAACAGGATCTCTACTTCATATGCCTGTGAGTCAGAGAACACGATTGAAGAGGCTGCCGAGATATGAAAGACTAAAATGGGGGGAAAGTTCCAAAATTTGATAATTTACACTGAACTCAATGTACTAGCTGCATCATGGTACAAACACAGAGCTATAGTCTAGAGACAAATACGGTTGCCCCACTCATCAAGAAAGAGACACACGAGCCAGGTGATGCAATGCAGTGGATTAAGTTGGTTCTTGGGACACCTGCATCTTATTTCGGAGTGCCTGGTTCAAATCTTTCCCATCCAGCCTCCTGCTACTGTGCCCAGGAAGCAGTAAATGATGGCCCAAGTATCTGTCACCCTTGTGGAAAATCCAGATGCAGTTCCTGACTTCTGGATTCCCAGAGATCATTATATAGAGGGAGATGGGCCAGGTATAGAAAAGCCAAATATCAGATACAAGATTGCTCTTCATCTTTCCCTCCCTCCTTTTCTCTGTCACTCTGTTTAAAAGAACAAATCAATCTTAAGAAATAAAACTATGGGGGCAGGCATTGTGACACAGCGGGTTAAGCCACTGGTTGGGACACTGGCATGTCAAAGTGTTTGGAATGGAACCAGCCTTGATTCTCACGAGTCCTGGAGGCAGCAGACAATGGCAGTGCTTGGGTCCCGGTCACCCCAGTGGAGGGAGATCCGGCTGGAGTTATGGGTTCCTGGTTCCAGTCTGGCCCAGCCCTGGCTGTTGTGGAGTAAACTGACAAAGGAAAGATCTCTCTCCATTCCTTCTGTTTGTTCGCGTGTGTTTCACACAAACAAACAGATCTTTAAACACAATCATCTATTATCAAAAAGTGTTATTTTGGTTTAGGTCTTAATCATGTAGAGGAAAAATGTAGATGAAAATGACAAATGGTCACATCTTATTAAAGACAAATCACAGATCATTTCTATAAATAGATTGCTTCCCGCTTCATTTAGCTTTTTTTTTTTAAGCTTTTCTTGAATGGCTGTGTCTATATCTTTAGTCTCTAGTGTGAATATTTTTCCTCTAATCCATTATCACATACATATCAAATTTTCTTGCTGACACTCCACAGTTCAATATAGTTACACTTTATCTCAAAACCTTTTTAGATTTCATTCTAGCAGAAACTTCGTTACTTTTTCCCAAAATGATTAACCAGTCAACACACAAACCCACCCACATTCCATTTTCCTCCATTAGGGTCAGGTCATGGTTCACCTGAGTTCTTTCTAGAAGCTTCCTTCTTGCTGGCATTCCTGCATTCAGGACTCTCCTCCCGTCGCACAGCACCTCCACCACAGAATCTCCTGTGTGGGTAAGGTGGAGTGGGGGTACCACTTCCCTACCTAGGCCCCTTCAATTGCTTTGCCCTGTGCTTAGATATGTCCACCACAGCTGGGGGTGGGGAAGCATGTGGTTTATCACAGAAACAGGAAAAGACTGGCACAGAGAGCTACACCGGTACCAGAAGTACAGTGCAGAGTCCTGGGGCTGGCCCTGCTTGGCAGGGGAGCCCCTTTCCCTCACACGGGGACCACTTTCCGGCCTCAGACTTCACCCCTTCTCTTGCCGGGTGGGATTCTGCCTACTGCAGATGCTGACACAGTCCCCTGCTCCCTCTGGCCACCTCCAGCTCACTCTAGGTTGGTATGCCATCTGTTCCATCGCACAGCCAGCAGCTCTCAGGTTGGCAGCTGGCACGCTTCCTGTGTGTTCCTCAGTATTTCCAGATATTCTACCCCTGCCTTTTATTTTCTTCAAAGGTGTATTTACTTTCTTTGAAATGCTTACAGAGGAAGGGAGGGAGGGAGGGAGGCAGGCAGGGAGACCTGGGGCGGGGGGCAGGGGTGGGTGTGGAAGAGAGCTTCACTAGTTTACGTCCCAGATGGCCAGAAAGGCCAGTGCTGGGCAAGGCCAAAGCCAAGTGCCAGGAGCATCTTCCATATCTCCCATGTCAGTAAAACACTCCCAAATACTTGGCAATTTTCTGCTACTTTTCCCAGGCCGTTAACACAGAGCTCATGGGAAGTGATGCAGCCGGGACACGAACCAGAGCACATATGGCGTACTGGTGTGGCAGGTAGTAGGCTAACTATTCCACAACACCAGCCCGCCTCATACGCCCTTCTTTGCCCAATTATGTCTCCTTTTGACTGCATTAATCAACAAGTTTTTCTCTTTGAATGTTGTATCTAGACGACCTGGCATGCAGTAAGTATGAATAAGTATCTAAGAACAGATGAAGGTCTGTTTCAAAGGACAGTTACAGATCCTTTTTAAAAAGTGCTGTTACACTGAAGATACACTTTGGTTTCTAGTAAGGTGAACTGAAAATTTAAAGTAGCAATCTTTACAAATAATTCCACTATCCCTTAAAAATGAACAATATTCATATAAACACATCAACATAGCACTTTTCATATTTTAATGATCAGCCCAATAGGTAGATGTCATATTCCGCCAAACCACATTTCTGTTTGAAGTAAGAATCATGAAAGCAGCAAATATTTTACCTCCTTTCTAGGATAAGAAGTGGATTCTCTTGTCAAACAGTCTAGAATGCATGTTGAACTGAACTTCCACAGAAGTAAGATTCAAGGTGTTAACAGTTTGCATAAATCCTTTTCAAGCAGAGCAAAGTTAACTGTGATGTCAAAAAGAGAAGACAGACACATTCACCAGAGCCTAGCTCGCTGTGAGCTACCATGGCCAGCTGCAGTGGGGTGTGTGTGTCCTCAACCACCGCCTACCAGAGTTCCTGCACACACGAACTTCACGCCAACGCTCACACTGCTATGTAACCACATCATCCATTAACACATTTCCCACATGATGCAATTATTCAACCATGATACAATTTTATCTACTCCATCTCCTTGAACCATTTAGTCACACCTCACTCAGGAGTTAAGTGCCTATTTTCATCCAGTTATAATCTCTGTGTTATTAGCCACTTTGATTTCAAACACAAGTGAACACGTATTAAAATCAATTCTGCTTTTTCTTGAAACATCTCTTTAACTTCCAATATTCTCAAACCAAAGTTATCATGCATACCACGCTCTGGCAGACAGTAGATGCTATCATGTGAAATCTCAGATAAAGTTGAAGACCCAAGGCAGGGCTCTCACGTGAACTCCGAGTCCCAAGCCAGGGCTCTCATGTGAACTCCGAGACCCAAGGCAGGGCTCTCTGAGTGCTCCATGCCCGAGACTCTCAGCCCCTGCACACACTCCTGTCGACTCTCCTGCAACTTTCTACTCTCACCTGATCCTGCTCCTTCAGAACAGATGGATCAACTTCTGAACTGATCATTCTAATTCACGTTTAACCACGCCTTCACTTCTCACAGTAACACATTCCCCATGCTACCTTCTGCTTACACAAGGGGATTTAGACACTGTCATTTATGTGTGCTTTTCATTTGACACCATCTTATTTTCAAAGCATTAATTCCACACCAATTTTAGCATATTTCAAAGGATACCTCTCAAAGAATAAAATCAGCTTTTCCAGTGGGTCATGAAGTTTCTCTCAATACCTCTTGAATACTTACCACAGGCATCATTCAAATGACCTAATTTTAATTACTTTTTGATTAGTATAATCATTCCCACTATGGATTAGTATAATCAAATAGCACTTTAATTGTATGATTATCTCAGATGCAAATTTAACATCCTAAAACAATGCATAGTTCTTATATTGAAGTACAAAATGTATATTTTTAAAGCAATCAAGGCACTCATGACATGAGAATAAAAGAGAGCACATCTTCAAATGCCTTTTCTGGACTAACTACATTTGGAAGAAAAATAAGTAAAACATTCTGGAGGAAACGGATAGAGAATAGAAGCCATGCCCACTAACACTAACTGCTATGTGCATACAAATATATGAATTGGTACTTATATAAATTAATATATATATATATATTTGAAAGCAGAGACAGAGCTAGACAGGCAGAAAGAGATTTCAGCCACTGGTTTAGTTGAACTTCAGTGTTTGCAACAGTTAGAACAAGGCCTGGCCCAAACCATGAGTGTGGGTGGCAGGAGCCTAAGCACATGGGCCATCGCCAGATGCTTCCCAGGCACACAGTACCAGGAAGCGGCATGACAAGCAGGACTCTGCCCAGGCACTCCGCTCCAGGACGCAGCAGCTTCATGTGGCATCTCCACAAGTGCACACACACCTGCTCACACTGCTCCCTTAGCCTGCTCATCAGTTAGCAGAAGGACCAGAGATGAGGAAGAAGAGGAACACTCAGTCGTACAGACAGACTTACGTGTCAAACATGTTGGAATACATGAAGGGGTCCAGGAAAACAAACCTCAATAAAATGACGAGAGGGCTCTGCATTCTATACTCTAGTCTGGCTAAAAGAAAATGACCTTGGAGTGACATGCTGTTTGCCAAATTCGATCCTGAGCTTCCCACCGAGCGTATTTTCTTGAGTTTCTCACAACATAGTCAAAAGCGCCACTCTTTTATCTCAATGGGATCCAGGCTATTAAAATACTGCGTGCTATTGAAAACACACTGGCTTGAAAACTGACGCCTGAAACAAAATCGCTCTGCAGCCTCAGAAGGCGACCCTGGTCAGGGCTATTCATCCCGGGTGCGACGTGTCCTCACCTTCACGCTGGGTTTGGACAGCAGTTTCAATAGCTCTCTGACATCATGGCTGCATGGCTTGCCCTGGAGCTCGTCAGCCAGCTGCAACGGAGATTACATAGGTCAGTTCCCCTCAAGTGATCTCCGCGAGGTCCCATTGTGCTCAAGGCCGAGGCTCCCTGCTGTGTGAGAAGTCAGGGAGGATGCAACAGACCCATGCATCCCTGCTCCTCTTCTGGGGCCAGGCTCTCTGCTGAGGCTCAGCTCCAGCCGTCCTGCCAGCCAGATCACCTTCTGATTTATCACAACGGGGCAAACCCTGCGCTCCATCTACACAGATGGTCTTCTGCCCACGGACAAAGAGCCCTTGTGCAAAGAAACTGGATCAAGCTTTGACACTGCACACACATATACAAGGAAAGGGGCTTCTGAATGAGCTGGTGAAATCCACAGGGCTTCCAAACCCCATGGGAGCCACAGTGTTTAGAGCCAGGTAGAAAAGAACCAGAGGGATGCTAATGGAGCAAATGGTCTGAAACTTTTATTATGTTTACCTACACACCTGGAGCAGTCTGTTCAATGTTAATGAATTAACCAGAGTGACCTGTAACAGACTGACAGCTACTTACGTACAAAAAAAAGCTGACTGCACTTGACCTGACGGCTAGATTTCCCACTCGCTGCGTCTATCTAAAGAAAGGCCTGGAGTGTAGAACCTACCCTATGCTTTCATCAAAAAAAGGCCTTTCTACCCGATTTTAGGCTACAAGAAGCATCACACAGTTTTTAAAGCAAAAATGCAAGATTCTGAGAAGTGCTTACATTTTATTGTGGAAGACATGACTGAAAATACAGAAATACATTTCCGTTTTGAAAAATAAGCTTCTCAAAATGCTGCATGAAATGTCCACTTGCCTCTGCTACTCCTGGCAGGCTGCAGATAGTAGTTGTTATCTCTGAGAACAAACTCTTCTTCTAAGAGCAGGTCATAATATAAATTCTGCACCAAACTTAATATAGTCGTGATAAGTAACTCATTAGATTTCAAAGACTGCTTTTCCCATTTCAAGAGACTATGTGCCAGGAATTTTTAGCTTACAGAAAACGCTCTCCTGCCGCATAATGCATCATAATACATTTTAACATTTCAATGTGGTCCTTAGATGAATTATAAAATTCTTCAGCGTATTGTATGGTGGGTTCTAATTTTTCTAACAGTAATGTTGCTGTAATCTGATTGGGTGTCCACGTCACAGATATTTTTTACACAACTTTTTAAAAACCCTTAGCCTTCTACCTTTTAAAGCTGCTTTTCTTGTGCTGCCACGCACCCTTATTTAGGCAACTGGACACCCACATTTCAAAAGCTTTGGTTCTCAAACAAAAAGTCAGCTTCCTTGCTAATCCACTATGTCCCATCCTCCTAGCATAAAACCCCTGTGGTGACTTAAGCAGTAAGTGTAGCACACACAGCAACCTGGGAACAAAGACTGTGCTGCGGAAACACTCGCCCAGTGGGAAAGCTGCCGCCACACAGGCTGCACAGATGCATCATTTCTAGAAAAAAAAATGGAAGAAAACTATTTGTGGGCTAAGCATAGGGTGCACCACATGGATGGTTGATTAGGCTGTTTTACGTTTTACAGAAAACACATATCAAAGAAAATCAGCTTTCTGAAGGTGGTCCTTTTACAAATTATATGATCGCCCTCGTATGTTACTAAGCTGATTAAATTTTGTTTTATCCCTAATGAAAGACAACATGGAAATGCTATAAATCAGCTGCGTGGTCTCCCTAAAACCCGCTTTCACACTCAGCATCCTTCTCAGCCAGCCCCGTGGCCTTGCAGTTTGCCCAGGTGTGCTCACAATTCATCCGAGTCGCAGAGCGAACAGCAAGGATCAGCACGTCAGAAACCCTCTTCCCTCCTCCCCCACCCGCAACCAGACTTAAAATAAAATTATAGCTACAGGAAATTAACTACTCCATCAATGCCAACTGCCTCTAAAATTTATTTTTAATTTTTGGTTATGAGGGTAATTTGGAAAGGTCTAATATCCATAAATCATTATGGTGCTTTATATAATCCATTTAAAAACAGTCCTGTCTTTCTCGTGTCTTTGCGCCTCACTCCTATCCCAGCATCTGTCAGCCACCAGAGATCTCATTTGTGTATTTTCCACAGCATTCCACCTGGCTGTGACTTTCCTCCTTGCACAGCAGGAGTCAAGAACTTCTCCCCAGCCGAGCATGAAGCCAGGCACTTTCTATGACGTGGTTACCATGGCAGGACAAGGAATGTTACCAGGTGCAAGAATCTTCAGACCAGGAAAGTGAATGGGAACCAGTGGGAGGGCGGCAAGCTGAGGGACAACCAAGCTTTGGGCACGTTGGTGGTTCCTGGTCTGCAGTCACAAGACTGCAAGCGTCTGTCCACTTACGTCTCCGGCCAAGGCTGCAGCGCTGTGCAGAATGGGCCTGGGGCTCTGCTTCTCGTAGCAGTGCAGCTTCTCATGAATCTGGAAGAGAAGCAAAGGACTGTCAGTTTGCCTGTGGTAAGTGATTGCAGATATTAAAACACTGTCAAGATCACATGTTCAGCTCAGTTCCCCAGAATATTCTTAATGAAGGCAATGCACTTGCATGAACCTGAGGACAACACATGCAAGTACACCTGTGTGTGTACATGCCACATATGTGCGTATGTGTGCACAAAATTCATTTGTTACCCTGGCCCGGTGTGTCCAACACAGAGTCACTGTATACAACTCACACAAGAACACAACCTTTGCTCTCCCGCTGGGTAAACATGTCTGTTTCCTAACATGAAATTTTTCAGCTCCACTGCTTCATTCCCTCAAGTGACAGCGGTAGCTTATATTTCTGCTCCAGACTTAAATTATGATTAGAGTGCAACATAAATTGGCAGACACATAGTGACAGACTGGCACAGAAGAGCTGCCAGGAGGGGCACACACTGGTACCAAGTCCAACAGCTCCCAACAAACTTACAACTCCTCCTCCTGCCTAACTGTTTTCTTCAAATTGTTCATTTTCCTCCAAGTTGAAATTACGAAAAAAAAAAAAAGGAACTCTTACAACTGTTTAGCTTAAATAATATCCTTTCTCCTGCTGTAAAAACAATTCTGTTAAATTCACACACCATCTCTATGCCTTGAGAAATACAAGAGCAAGCAGCTATTTTAACGCAACATGAGAAAAACCAAGTTCCTTAAGCCACATGCCATTGTCCCATGAAGCCCCAGGAGACGCTGCAGCGGAAGCATACCTGTCAGCCTGTAAGTTTCACCTGTTTCAGCTCTAACACAGGTGTCCTTAACATCTAATACTTGCAAACTCCAGTTTCCGAAGAGATGAAGAAAAGCGTTCCCCAGTATATGTGAAAAACAGTTGCATGTCTCAATTTCCTGTTCTTAATAGGTACCAAGTAGTATACTCCTCAATTATACTCAAAGCTAACCAAACTCCCTTGTAAAAGTCTGGAAGATAGATTTTACTCTGATGAGCCAGATGTGATGGCTGAGAGAGGATTCTATTACCTTCTAGGCAACCAGGGATTTAACGTCTAGCATCAGGGGAAGGATCTAGATATTTAAGACATTACCAGAAAAATGAGGCCAAACTTTTTACTTCATATCTTGGAATCTGTAAACCCTTATCATATCAAGGGAACAAACTTTTTAAAAAGGGGGAAAGAATTAAGGTTTCATTTGAGAAACTAGAGAAGCAGAATTTTAAAAACCAATACTCCTAAGCTATATTATCTTTGTTTAAATAACTACCTAGAATGAGGGCTTTCTCCACACATACTCACAAAACTCAGCCTCTCACAACCTCGTCTAACTTGACTACACAACTTGCCTCGTCACTTTAACAAACACACAGGCCAGCACCTACTAAACACACATGCGTGTCTATCACCTGCAAAACAGCTGTTAGGAATACTGGGGACGGAATCCTGACGGGCTTAGTACTCTCACCCCTGAGCCCTCCTAGGAACAGGTGGATGGGCGAGCATCTTGCTCTGCCACACAGGGCCTGAGTCCCCTGGGAGACACCCACACAGGCAGTGGCACAGCTGGGGTCACACTCCCTGGAGCCTCCAGCTGATGCCAGAGCTCCTTAGGTCCCACTCGGCCTGCTCAGCAGATAGTGCCCTGGCTTCCTCGCTGTCCTACCAACATACAGCGCCTGTGAGTGGGGCCCGGTTCCCAGAGCTGGCTTCCACTGCCCCTCCTTCCTCATCACCCAGGAGGTGGGTGCGCTGGCCCACGCTACAGTGCTCACCCTGGACTTTGTACTGCGTTCAACTAGTTTTATAATTTCCTCTGAAGATTTCAAAGTGCTGGCAACCCTATGCTGCTACATGTTTCACTTCACCACAAAAGCGAACAGAGGTAGGAAAGTAAAAACGCTCTTCATTTGGAGCTGTTTACTATTTCCAGAAACACGGAGAGCTGCGTTTTGCAGTAGCACCCATAATACCCAGAGAAAATGTTTTTAAAATCCTAATTAACAGGAACACGGATGGACATGACCCCAAGGCTGCCCAAGAGAATGTTCAGTGACGTCCACCACGTTCTACAGCGGCTAGCCGGTATGGTAGCCACCAGCCGGTATGGTATCCACTAGCCACACTGGGCACAGGAACTGTTAGCTGTCACACTGCATTTCTTTCATTTAACCTCAGTCAGATCAGACCGGATGTCCACACATGGCTAGTCACTTTCATGTTATAAAATATGACTTAGTTTCATATTAAATTCTAGAATTTACCTACTGCAGAAGAATCCACTGTGATGCACTCTGGCACCTGTCTCAGTGTGGGAATATTTTGAGAGCCAGGAGATAAAAACTAAACCAATGATGTGGTTGAAATATCAATAATCAACCAGTGACTCAGATTAGACACCAAACACAGCCAAACCTTCAAAAGCTCATTTATTTTAATTAAACATTTCCCTATGTAGATTCAGCCACTCCCACCAGTAACCCAAGGAGGAAGGAGGAGGCAGCTGAAGGAAAAGCAATCACGGATACAGATGTGTGCTGAGGAGAAGAGACCCTGCTAAATTCATTTCATATGATAGAAAGACCATAGTCACTCAAAAGTAAGTGCCTACTCACAAGAACATGCTAGAATAAATAGTTAAGATTCACAAAGCACACCTCAATCTCTATGCACAGGTTGTGCCATTAAATATTCCTAATACATGTAATGAGAAAACATCAGCTAAAATAAAAATCATTTCTATTTACAACTGGTTCTTAACAGCAAACTAGAGTTACTTCCCGAAAATAAATGTTGCATTTCACGGAGGGTACTGGCGCCTACACTCGACTCTGACACCTACAAGAATGGTAGGACTTGTCAGAATGGAGCTTCACTCACCAGAGGATGAGCTAGCTTTTCAGAGGAGCCAGTCCCAGGGCATGCATTTGCTTCCAAGCCTAGAGGACACGGACAGGTATGAGACTGGACAGCTCTGCCACAGCTGTCCAAACCACATGAAAAAAACTAAGGCCACAACGCGAGCCCTGGCTTCCAAGGGTAAAACAGTCCTGCCCATAATGGCTCAGTTGTTTAAATTGCTTGTATGGTAATAACAGCACCCAATCTAAAATTAGCATGCACGCGCACACAAACACACACACACACACACACACACTGACCACTCACCTTCTACACAGAAAGCCTAGGGGTAGTACTAGAGCAATGTTGAGTATAGAAAAGAAAATACTCAACAGGAGCTACGAGGAGGGGCTCTGTGGCTGAGGATATGTGTGATGGACACGTGTGATGTAACATGTCCACAAACGCAGGCTATAGCACCCATGTGTCCACAGCCAAGGAGTCTATCACACACAAGTCCACAGGCTTGGACTGTACCCAGGAGAAAAATAACAGGCTTTGGAAGAAGAGAAGGGACATGGCCCCAGGTGTGCTCGCTTGCCCACATGGGGGCTGGAAACTGGAAGTCAAAGAAGAGGAGATGGCTTTGGGGCAAGAAGGGCTTTTCACTGTTGAGTGCCCATGAGAGCTGAAGGCTCTCTTCCCTCCCCTTCCTACTGCCAGTTTTCCAGGGGACATTCCTGAGGGCTGACTCCATGCAGGCAGAGGTTGCCCTGCCAGTTCTTGCTTTCTCTGGTGGCCCCAGCGCCTCTCAGGGCCCCACTATGTTTCAGGGGATTCTGTAACATTGTCACAGTGTTAGAAGAGCATCACTGCAGGGGCATGGCCTGTCTCTGCCTGTCACTTGCTCCTGGGATGACATCATGGTGCCCACACACAGGACACACAGGAGGCAAAGCACAACAGCCGGCGGCCTCTGTGCTCACATGCACAAGACGCATTCCTGAGGGACACTAACACTCAATGCCAACTCCCTAATGTCGCCTTAAAAATGGTCACGGCAAATGGAGGCGAGGGTCTCAACGAAGCAAGCTGGGTAGGTGCAGGAAACACTTCATTCTGACCGCAGCAGGTGGCACGTGAGGATGCGCACGCAGGAGGAAACAGAGGAAATCACATGGACATGTCCAGGTAGGAGAAAGCCTGAGAAAACAACCCGATCCACATGTTTATTAAACAGCAGGGAGGAGAACCTGCTGCTGGTCAGCACAGCTCTCGCCGCCAGGCTCCTGAGGGGGAACGCGCTGTTGCTGAGAATAAAGACAAAATCCGTCACCCAGAGAAACACACTAACAGCTCCACAGAAGGGATCTTGGAGAAAAACAAGTGCCAGAATTGGTTCAGAGAGGACATCACTGACAGTTCTCACGGCCCACTCTCTCCTCCAGAAGGGGATTTAGAGATCCTGTGCCCACCAGCTCTCACCACATGACACGGCTGAGGAAACCGGTCTGGTTTTCAGGTGAGCTGGGATCTGGGTACACAGCACAGTGTGTGCCCCAACACAACAGACAGCAAAACAGGACTGACCACAGAGACACCTAGCAAACCTAAATCAGCCATCACTGCCTCACACCAGCCCTCCCACAGCTCGCTACTGTAGTACTGAAGAGTAAAGGTGTACGTGTGGATGGCTTAGAAACCCAAGCTTGCTCTGGTGCCCAGCCTAACCCAGCACCTGCTGGTTTCTATCTCAAATCACTACCCCAAGTCCCCACCACCAGAATCTTCTGTCAGTGGCCCTGCCTTGCTCACAGGCTCACTTGTGGGTCAGTGACACACACTCTTCCCCAGGTCCCCATGCAACCAAATCAATGCTCCTCCAGGTTCTGGCATGGCGGGCCCCAGTACTTTTGACTCATTTCCATCTCAGATTTGGCATCTGTAGGTCTACTCTGCATTTCCTTCACCTGTTCCCACAGGTGATGAAACTTCCTAATTAGGGACAATGTCCCTCGAGTTCACCACTGTCTCCCAAGAGCTTACACGCTAACCCCTCCATAAAACAGAGGCTCCAAAGTTACAACTGTTACTGAATGAATGAAGTGTGCAGGGCCTTAAGGTCACAGCGTGACAGGACGTGTG